TTTTTATTGTCGTCTAACGTTTAGGCTGTGCTCAGCACGGCATGCCCGGAATCTCATGAGAAGTCGCACTAATTTAGGTCATGAATGTCGAAACCAACGTACAACGTAGGTCTGTGTATTATAAATCAGTAAGATTATCCTCTGAACTAAAGTATGGTAGGAATTTGAACACGGTTGAAAAATTATCCTTCTTCGTTCACACTTTTCGGACTCCTCACAGACGTTGGCTGTTATAATAATCACTATACTTTATATAACCTAGTAACTACTTGCAATCGCATACCGACCTGGATGTTAAAACAGTGCAGATCATGATTTACGATGGGAACCTCCTGTTCACTTGTGTTGAACGACTAGCATCACAGTGCAGATCCGCAGTTGCTCGAAATTCTGTTAGAATTTGTAGCCTATACAAATTCCATAGAGAAATTATCCCTGTGTTACTCGAACTGTGATTTGTTTGAGCTTGTGGTAAGCTTGTGACGTGAAAACCTATGGTGCGCTGAGGCTGCTGGTGGCTAGATCCTAACAGATGGTCTACCCACTGCTGCTACTGTTGTGCCATGGGCTGTTGTCCAGAACGCCTCCTCGTGATGACCGCTGGGTGGGAGTTGGGTTACGCCCTTCTCCCTGATAAGATCCAGGACACCAATCCGCATGAGTCAGTGAACTGACCATGTGCTAGATCCGCTGCCTTTCGGATGTTCATTTAATCGAAGGCTTTGGCTGAGGACCCGAGTCGTTCTCCCGTCAGGCGTGGGCGCCCTGCCAGTGTCCTACTCCAAACCCCTTCCTCTTTGGATGTAAGGAAGTGGTTGACGGCCCCTTGTCGTAAAACAGCAATGGGAGACAACAGGTCCACGGGTTATAAGCTCACCGCTCTATTTGCATAGAGCACGAGCGCCACGCATTGTCTCTGACGGTGGGAGGGCACCTCCGGGTGCTCAATGGTTTGCTACTGCCCGCCTCAAGCCAGGCAGCCCCTGATCAAATTGGTTTAAGACCGACAAAACTCTCCTGCGTCTCATCGCGGTCGCAGGTGCGTATCTTACCACGGTCAACAAACATACAGGAATTGTTCCACTACCTCAAAGACCGCATGTGACAGCCGTCAAGCAGATCCCAAGCTGTCTCTGCAATCATCTTCCCTAGCTGGATCTGCTCCACTCTACCTTGTGAGTCAGGCTATTGAGTCAACGGCTCCAGGCGGAGTCAATCAAACAAACCTCCAGACCAACCATTGCCTTGTGTGTCAGGATATTGAACCAAAGGCCCCGGGTGGAGTCCCTCAAGCAAACCTCTGAAGCACAACCACCACCACCACCACGCGTGCGATTGCCCACCAATGCAATCATAAGTCTGTGTGCAAAGCACTCAACATCGGGTGCTGGAACATGCTTACACTACCGAACCGAATTCGAGCCAGCGTCCAGAGCGACGTACTGCACTGGTCGCGATGGAACTGGCGCGCTACGACATCGATGTTGCGGCGCACAGCGACACCCGCTCGATGAGCAAGGTAAGTGCTATTGCTAAAGAGGTCTTAATTAATCAAAAATAAAACTATGAGTTTCTTAACTCTTATATACACGATTAGCTAAAGCTAGCCTGTTCTGAGAACGGGATTTTTGTTCGATGCGTTATCCCAGTCTCTAAATTTTTGTTATGCTACATTTTACTTTAAGGTACTCCCTTATACTCGACAGTATCACCTTTCAGCTTGTTTAATTCCACCAAAGCAAAAACGTTCTACTTTACTTGCACAACCGCTATGATAAAGGGGTTTTTACTAAACTGAAAAATAAAAAGCGGAATTCCTTAAATTTTTATTTAAATGATTTTCGTTCCTGTGCTGAAATGGTAAATGCGACTAAAAACACAAAATATACTAACGAAGGATGCCGCTTCTGGGAGGATTAGAAACTGGAGTATTTTGCACCTAACAACTGAACAAGCGTGTGTGTATGTGCTAGATGCGTTTGGATTGTGGCTATTTCAAAGAATTTAGCATCATGAGGCACTACGAAACGAAGCATGCTATGACAACGACTAAAAAATGAACTCGTTTTAGAAACTGAAGCAACTGGAAACTGGACTAATCTCCCAACAAAACCTCTTTGTAAGAATCAGTCAGTCGAATGAATATGTGACTAAGGTAAGTTATGAGGTGGCAAAACTAATAGCGAAACAATGTAAACCATTTACTGAAGGCGATTTTGTCAAAAATATGGAAACCATAGGAATTATCTGTCCTGAGGATGGCAGGTAATACTGTGGCCCGTAGAAGCGAAGACATCTCCACTGATATTAAGAGAATTTTGGAAGCAAAAAAGCGCAATTTCTTTTTTTCGATAAGCCGTGATGAAGCGCTGATGCATCTGACACTGCCCAGCTTCTCGTATTTATGAAAGGACTTAACAATGACGTGTGTGAGTGAGGAATTACATGACCTTTAAAGTCTTAAGGACCAAACAAGAGGAATGGAATTGTTTGCTTCTGTTTCGATTGCAATCAAGGACATTAAGCTATCACAGAGAAAACCCCTGGAATGATTACTGACTGTGCCCAAGCCATGACTGGCGAGCACAGTGGATTAGCAATACTTGTCTGTAACAAGCTCCATGGAGAGGGGACAAAACCATAAAGTTCTAATGCATCATCCACCAAAAAGTTATTTGTGACAAATATCTTAGGTGTGATCATGTCGTGAAGGCATTGATAAAAGCTCAACTATCACCGCTCCAAAACTCTGTTTCGTCGTCAGTTTCAGCAGTTTCTACTGGACATCCAGTGTGAATACGGAGACGTTGTGTGCCACAATGATGTAAGATGGCTCAGGCGCTTCTACTCTCTAAGAAAATAAATTGGACAGATCTAAGAAGTAAGGGATAATAGATGCCAGAACTATCTGATTCTGTTTGGCTGGCTGATTTGGATTTTTATTGATATTAGACGGCATGTGAACATGTTAAACACGAGCCTTCAGGGTCAAAATGCAGTGGTAAGCCAATAGCATTCACACATCAACGCCTTCAGGAATAAGCTGTAATGTATCCAACGCGAACTATCTCAAGCGAAGCCTAATACCAAACATTTTTCATCACTGCAGAAAATCCTGACGTCTTCCAGAAAGTAACATCAAAGCACAAATGCAGAATTGTGTCGCAGATATTGTATCCCTGGCTGATGGGTTTCAAAGGCGCTTTCAAGAATTTTCAGCCAGTGAAAAGGGAATAAAGGTATTTTTTCGCCCATCTCTGTTGACACTTAAAATGCTCCAGGCCACCTGTAACTGGAGTTCATTGAGTTGCAAAACGATGTTGAATGTCGCAGTCGGCACCAAGAAATCTGTCATCAAACTTACCATCAGTTGGATAAAGATGGATTCCAAGAAATTTGAACATTTACTTATATAGTGCTTAGCTTGTTTGCTTGGACATACTTTTGTGGGCAGACATACCCAGTTTTTAATTTCAGTAAGAACCGTATGAGGATGAGACTAAGTGATCTTAATCTACGGGATATCTTGCGTAACAAAGTCAGTGCCTTTGTGACTGACTTGACCAGTCTCCTGAAGTTATGATCTCAGTTTCGTCATTCGCATTTAAACTCACGATTAAAAATTTATAACGTGTCATTTTTGTTATTATCTAAATGTTAGGCTGAATTTCGTCCGACATATTTTTACCTCACAAAATGTCTTGCGAAAAGTTTGGACACCTTTGATGTTAAGTGTGATCTGATCACAAAAGATTTCCCATCTGTTCGCACAGATCAGGTAGAGTTAGTAGGGCTGTGTCTCGAACGAGGGGCACAGAGACGATCGGCTGAAGCCTACATGCATCCGCCACCGCGAAACTGAGGTTTGTCACAGCTTTTAACGACCCTTCATTGGTTGGCTTGAAGTAAGCAGTAGACGAGTTACCTACGATCATCCTCCTAGCGCTTCTTTTTAAACTCTCAACTCAGTACACCTTTTGGTTGTTCAGTGTACCAACCTAATAAACTAAAATTTAAGAGAATCTGTACCTTGGTCAGTTATTGCACACACTCATCAACCGGAAGTACTTGGCCGATGTAGGTTGGAAATGAATAGACCACACCATCTTCACGATTGTTTGAGGGGTTGCGTATCATGCAAAATATGCTTAAAAGTAGGTTTACATCTAGCTGTATTCTATCCACCTACCTACCGTACAGGATGCAAGCGACTGTGAGTTGCCGTATCACACCAAGCGCGAGGTCCAGTACGGATTGCTTACTTTGCAAAAGTTCAACACTCAGAAGCTACTTAAGCGGTGCTGGCAGTGCCCATGCGGAGACTCAAAAAAGAACGGACTGGGACATTCCCTTCAATAGACACTGAACCATTATTATCTGTGCTGCCTCGTTACACTTTCACATGGGTTTGGGGCCCCTTTTGAAGATCTGTATACATTTTCTGTTCTCTTGAGTTTCCAAGAGATTTCCACTCAAGCAACTATTCGTCTACACCGGGAGATTGTCGGCCGGCGGCTGAAAGCATTACGCATCTGCGTTATAAGTCAGAGGTCATAGGTTGGAATCCGCAAAGGTGCGGGCGATCGAGCGGTAAATCCGGCTCACGCGCGACTGTCGTTTGTCGCGTGGCAGTGAAGCGTGCGTACGGTGTGTCGGTTTACTACTAACCTATTTCGCCTCTTCGCCAAGACAGGTAAGTGTGCAGATCCATTTTAACGCTAGGTAGTGTAGAAGAACGGCGCTTTTGGAAGTGAAAGCCGTTGGGATGGAAATTCATACCCAACTCACACAATTGTTACAAGATATTCTTCTCACGTAGCCTCTGCACTGTGAAAATTTCACCCTGCACTTTGGCAGAACAAACGCGGACATACATGCTGAGTTCAAGGGAACATCCGTTTTGTTCCATTGCCATCTACAGACGAACCAGACATTCGCTAAGTAAATTTAGTTACTGAAAAAATCCTCAGTGCCACCTTGTAAAAATACATATGACTTACTGCTTATCGCTGGTCCAGTGTTGATAAAAGTGCGCCTGTTTGAATATTGTCTTTCGTCGGCTGCGCCCTCTTCGCTTAATTCCTTCTGAATCAATTGGTTTTGACTCTTGCTGGCGACAGTTATCTCTCGATTCGCGACAAGTCTGGTGCTAGCGTCCAGTAATGCGGTAATGGAAAACGCGGACCTCTGCCCTACATCCAAACCAGGTGAACTGCAGTATTCGAATGCCGTACCCTGGGTAAATGGAGTCGCGTCCATTGGTATCAAACCGGATACCTGCGTCATCTCTTCAGTGTTTTCTTGACTTGGCAAAAAATCGTAAACTGATGATGCGCGATGCATCAGAATTCACCGAGTACTTCTACCAAAAGTTACCAGTGAGATAGTTATAATCCAACTTAGTACCCAGACAACTCTATTAGCGCGATCTCTTCTCAGTTGTTTGGAGCGCGCACACATTCGCTGCTCCTTACGATCAAAATTTGGACACTAAAAAGACGCAAGCCAATCATTTTAGTCCACTGAGTTACAGCGACCAATTTGCTTTTCCTTTCGATCACGCCGCATGCAGGTCGAAGTCCCCCTCTCACCTGCATTTTCCATGGTGGTGGTGATGGTGGTGGCAGCGGCAGCCACAATCACAGTGACAGCGGCGACGACGACTACAATCGTTTTAGTGGCCTGGTCGCACTTAACAGCCGGAAAGCCAGATGAGTGGTGCTCACACTCATGAACTCAAAACGTTCACGCCGGCTCGCGTGTCCATCTTCCCCACATGAACTCCAATCAGTTGATAGGGCTGGGGGAGGATGAGAAGTGTCCCGTCTCAACCTTAAACGACACTGAAGACCGATAGGTAGGGTAGAGGGAGGGAGCAGAGGAGTGAGTTAGTGGGTGAACAGCTCAAGCCGTAGGAGATGAACGTCGCTCAGCCGAACGAGCAACGTAAGTCGGATAGGATTGCATTATCTCGGGGGCTTGGAATGGCATTAACTGCGCACAGTATGTGTTAGGTTGAGGTCGGGAAACGGATGGATTCAAACAAAACTCCTAATTCGGGAATGGTTATTTAGTTGTGGGTTACGGTTTGGAGCCCACACATGTACGGTATTCATGTGGTTGTGATGGCTCACCCCATATCCGAATTGGATGGTATGCAGTGGAAGCGGCGGTTTGTGTGTCTGCTAGCAATAACACTAACCTCAAGTGGCTTGATCTCAGGAAGAGCCCAATGGAGTTGCTTGTCAACACCTCCTGTCTTACTGAAGCTAATGGATAAGGTCCAGAGACAGGCGAGAGCTGGAATCCGCTCTTATTCTGTCAACCAGAACATCAACTGAGGTTTGGTGAGCCATTGTAATGGCGCCCTGAGGAAAGGACAACACACAGATCACATTTGTGCAATAGGCGTAACGATGTTAGTTGGCTGGCATCAAACCAACTTCCGCTGCCTAACCACCAGCAGAAATGTAACGGAACCAAGCGTAACAGGTAAACCTTAGGCGGCGATCGGGGAATGGTTCGTCTCCCTGTTCGGACTCACTCTTTAGTTGACCGTTGTTAACATGATGGCTCCTTTTGTCGGCTGTCACGATGTCGGTTGCGGAAGTGAGTGTATTCTTACAATCTAAGTCCGTACTAGTCCTCGTAGACAAATTGTGCGGAGATTCGGGGCAAATATACGACAAACTGTTATCACTCAATCAACCGTACAACGATCGCAGCCACTCAATTTAAATATGCCAGCTCAGGAGTGTCCGAACTTTTGCAAGAAGGGCCATATTTTGTGAGATAAACATATGTCGGGTCGTATTCAGTTTAACAGTAAGATAATAACAAAATTACGCATGTACGAAAATAGTCCAAGCCCGAATTTATTATTTCATAATGGGTCCAATTGAAAGGTTAACGCGGGCGGCATTTCACCCGCGGGCCGGACTTTGGACACTCCTGTGCTAGATGGACGCGTGGACCGAACACCAATAAGTCACCTGTCTAGTCTGATTGATGTGCCAATAAGACCAACACTGGACATTTAGTCAATATGTTTTGAGTCAAATTACGAGGATGGCAACAAGGGCAGTGAAAGAAACAGGGTCAATGTGTAAAGTGGTAGCCTCTTGAATCTGCAAATCTGTTTCTGAAACGGGTCATCTAGCTGACCTGCACTCAATGTACGTCATTGTTCTCCGTACTATAGGGGCTGAATTATTTAACTTTGCCGACTCCTTGCCTCTCGAACACCAATGACCAGCTCCTTGTCTTCAAATACAACTGTTTACTAAGCAGAAGCCTTTCAAGCTCCGTGATCTTTGGGCTTAGATAGTAAATCAATGATGCCTGCGTCAATTAACCCCTTAAATCCGAGTTAACCAGCTAACGTAGGCGCTCAGCTTTCTCAAGTTAACAGGAATAGTTTTTTGTCTTCATGGAATTGCGTAACACAAAATATACCGTCTTCGTACACTCGTCCTTCAATTGTTGTGGGTTCCGCACCACACTGCCACAGCTTACCAGACCGCGACCATCCATCCATCTCCACAGATTCTGGCTTCTCTACATCAGCATTCTGTCGCAGCTGTTGATGTTAAATCAAACCTAATCTGTGTCAAGGATGCGAATTGCAACTTTTTACCACATGATTGATAAGTTTCGGAAGCCTTGCAGGGTGACTGGATTTTGGTATAGGATCCCTATTGGGACCGCGTTTCACATTCAAGCAACTACGGGACCTCATTCAGAGTGGAAACATGTTCGTCGTTGCTAACCCTGCGCTTCCCGGATTCGTTCGTGCCTGAAAGCCGGGGACGGCAGTGGAACGCGGCACCCACTAGATAATGGTTGGAACCTTGGTCATTAGGCTGCCTAATATCGCACGACGAAACTAATTGACTGTGGCTATCATTCTGAGTGAATGTCAATCTAGTATACACTGCGATGACATACGAGTAAACATCCTGTTCATAGTGTCCCACTGTGTGCAAGCGCATTTTCCCAGAACGCTGTGCGATTCTTCCAAGCTACGGGTGATTGCTTAGCTGCACAGGTTACACTTGTTTTGAAGCTATTCATCATGGATACCGCTCAATCCGGTTGCGGCCAGAGACAACATAATTGTCATGTTCGTGTCGTCGTTTCGCTCATTTAAAAATCCCGACATCCATAGCGTGCTAAGTTTAGTTACGAAGTCATTTTATTACGCAAGAACCGCCTGTTGGTTTCTTGTTTCTCTCTCCTCACTTAGGATGACTTGAGATCGGACACGCCATTCCACTTGATGCATAAATTCACACGGTTGGGTGGACTTTGAAAGAATTTACGCCTCTACTCGCTCATAATGGACGAGGCGAGGAAATTTCAAAACAGCAAGTTACGGTGACATGTCGGTTTTCGCCAAATGCCCGCAAGCCAATGCACATACGGTATGCGTGTGTGTGTGTGTACGTGTGTTGGGGACAGATGTTAGGCAACACGGGCCGGTTTTCCGGAGTTGTGTTTCGAACGCCATGTGAAGCGCAGCATTTGTGTACAGTTACGTGTGCGGAGGGATAACTAGACAAACACACTTCAATAGTGTTAACAATAATGAGGGTAATCACGCTGTTATCCGGAAAGACAATCATTTGAATCTTTAGGGCATAAATTAGACTTCCGGATCTGGTTGTCTCCTGCAGACGTAGGAGGACGGGTTTGCCGTCTGTCACCTTGATCACAACCCCTTTTACACTCATCTATATGAACACACGCATGTTCCGGTACTTAATTCACTCGCCCTGTGTGAGAGACTATGCGAGCGGAAACTCCGTCTCTTAGTTCACTCTCGAATAGATATCCTAAAACAAAACGCCGGATGGAGACGCAACAACGTGCTTCTGTTTTCGCCCATTCCACTGGACACCGGAATGCCTGCGGACAATTAAGACGAGGGCAGACGAAATGCTAGATGTATTGTTTTGTCATATGAATGTCGTTGATGAATACATCAAGTAAGAAATCGGTTTTCCTTTTTACTCTGCAGCTTTATTTGGTAACGAAGACAAGAGGTATGGAGACAGGTAAACGTAGAGAAAACTTATCAAATTAGAGTAAATGCTAGCTAAAAGCAACCTTTCCAAATTAATCGAGGAAACTCGTACAATCCGACTCACTTGACCGCGTCACAAGGAGGTATTAACAACCAGTAGACCTGTTGGCAAACTTATGCTATCCGTGTGTGTGTGTGTGTGTGTCGCGACAGTTACCAACTCATACATTCGAATGGCAAATGAGCGGGTGCCTTTACTCTCTCTCTCTCTCCGTGATGATCGTCGCGGCCGTGGTAGCAATGCTGCTGTTTTAGTCAGCGGTCAGTTTCACTATGAACTTTTGCAGCTGCTGGTGCACACACTTGTCTTTCATGGTCACCATTGGCAGTGACCCATACAGTGGCACTTGAAAAAAAACAGGCACACATCAACCTGCACTTCTCACAGCGTGGCACACGCACCGATGTTCGTGTCTGGGTTTGTGGTTGGTTACATTGGAAACGCTTGTCTACATGCTGTAGGCCTTCGGACACATTTGATGCGAAGTTCGTGTCACCCATCCGACCATTATATGAGGATGGTAGCGATAAAATCCCTTTGGCGCAAAACAAGTCGTGTTGATGCTTGTGGCAAAAGTACCATCTTGCTTCGTTCGATACCGTCTTGCTGGAAGGCAAATGTGATTTACAGTAAAATCTCCGAAGTTGACCACTTCTCTAAGTTGACCGCTAGATTTTTCATTGCTTGTGCATTCACAATGTAAGCCTTATGGATCCAGATCTCTGTATGTTCGCCACTACTGTAGGTTGATCAGTTTGATCTAGTCCCTTGAGCGGTCGGCTTACTGTTTTACTGTATATGGAGTCCGAAACCTACTATTGCTTGAAAAGATTTTGAGGTTACACGCTGGAGCATTTTGGTATATACATCACCTCCAGGTTGTAACACGACTGAAAAATATATCATGCAGGTGTACTTAACAAACATGCGACACCTCTGCAGCGTTAACTTAGATACAGTGGTGTTTGCATATGTCAGCATTCTATCTGGAAGCAAAATAAAAACTGGCGAAATGATCATTTACTGTGATTACTATGTTGTCACTGTGTCCCATGCTGAGGCTGATGTTGCATTCTTGATGCTTCTTCACCGCAGTTGGGCTAAACCAACTTACACTTAAACTAGGTCTTTTTAAGCTGGATCCATTTCATTCCACTTTATTTGGTTTGTTCTGCCTACCTGAATAATGTTCTATTAACTGGCCACGTTGCTTACACTAATTGCGCTTATCTTTGGTAACTTCATTGCGCTTGTTGCATTTTTAAGTAACTTGTGGACATTTCTTACTTATCGCGGATTCGTTGCTAACGAACTTACTTCATATGGTAATTTAGGGAAGAGTTATGCCACCGTATCCGTATGCATTATTAGATTTGTTTTATTTCATCTTGTCGTTCTAGGTGATAGGCTGTTGCTTGATATCCCCGGTGTGGCTGCGCTTTATGTGCATGTTGACAAGGTGGCTACCTGTCTATTACCCACTGCCTCATCCATACTGTCTCTAGGAGATAGTTGGTCGTTGTTGGAGGGGACAGGGTGCACAGTCCTTGTGCTCGTGCTAGGCTCAAAGTGCGGTTC